CGGCTGCCTTTTGCGAGGTCCCCCGAGCACGGATTCAGGAATCCTGTCACGTTTCCATTCCTCACCTCCTGAACACGTGCATGAACATTGCACCTCTATTTTTCAGAACCTGTCCAACTCTTATGGGTAATCTCATATTATGGTTGAAGCACCTGTAATTTTTCAGGATCCCTATTTCTCTCTGCCGCCTCTAGGGTAGTTTTAAGGAGATATTTTATTTTTCCCTCTGATGCATTGGGCTTCCCTGAAGTGACCAGAGCGGTCACTGACAGTGTGTGTACGGGGGCCCTTCCCACACCGCTGCTGTGAAGGCTGCGGTTGTCAGGCACCAGGACAGTGATAAGTTCCTGTGAGAGCACCGACTTCTCCAAGCCCAGTCCATCCCAGCCAGGCCAACCGCTTTCCCTTCCTTGTTTATTTTTATGTTAATCCTCACCCAAGGATAATTTTCCCATTGATTTTTTTAGAGAGAATGGAAGGGGGGAGGGTAGGGGGGAGAAAGAGGGGAGGAAGGGGGAGAGAGAGAAACATCGATGTGAGAGAGACACATTGATTGGTTGCCTTCCGCACACACCCTGACCAGGGCAGGGATCGAACCTGCAACCCAGGTACATGCCCATGACCGGGAATGGAACCCATGACCCGTTGGTGCCTGGGCGGACACTCCAACATCGAGCCCACTGGCCAGGGCAGCTTTCCCTTCCTGTAGATTAATTACAGTGGGATCTTCCCAGCCTCCACATGTGGACTTGTGTGTGGGATGAAAACGATTTATGTTTTGATTGGCGTGGCGTTTCCATGGATGTGTGCATTTTTCAAAACTCATTGAACTAGAGTACAATCTGTGCATTTAATTTACACTTTTTATAAAGACAAAGGTCAAAGCATCCTTTCCCCGCAGACTCTCCCTGAGCCCCACTTCTCCCCCATGGCCTCACCCCTCTATGAACCCTTCCATCGCAGATCCCTCCGCACACACACAATTGAATGTATTTGCCACCTCACCAGACTATAAAGACCCCGAAGTAACAGCTGTATTTCCCCACGACCTGCTGCTCCAGCCACAGGCGGGAAGGTGGGCTCGGGGAATCACCATCCCAGTTGAGGTCCTCCACTGCCCCTGCTAGGGCTTAGGTCAGGGGTCCTCAAACTTTTTAAACAGGGGGCCAGTTCACTGTCCCTCAGACCGTTGGAGGGCTGGACTATAGTTTAAAAAAAAACAACTATGAACAAATTCCTATGCACACTGCACATATCTTATTTTGAAGTAAAAAAAACAAAATGGGAACAAATACAATATTTGTATTTGCATGTGGCCCGCGGGCCGTAGTTTGAGGACCCCTGGCTTAGGTACTCGCTTTTCTAGAACATTCCAACCCACAAAGTCCTCCTGGGAGGTACCCCGCTAGGGGGCCCGTTGGATCCCAGGCAAAGGGATTGATTACGTGGAACTCTGTCCTTGGAGCCCCGCCCCCACTTGGCCAGTGTTTCGGAGACTGTATTCATCTTTCAAACGGGAAGATGAGTGACCTGACTGTAAGGAACTTGCGCCACGCGGCTCACCCCGCTGTGTGTCAGCAGGCGCTCTGATGTTCCTTTGTTTGTTTGTTTATTTTTCTCTGATGATGGCATGTCAGCAAAACAATCTCTGTTCTGTTCTTGTCCCCAGTGATGGATGTAACAGATATAATAAATGGAAAAGTAGACGACGAGGACAAGCAGCATTTCATCCCCTTCCAGCCGTAAGTATGGAGCCCTCCGCATGCGCAGCGGGTGCCCTAGAGCAGCGTGTGCTGGTGACAGTGATCTTCATGGTCAAGTCGGTCCGGTCAGCACACGCAGGGATGGGTTCTTTGGAAATAACGAAAAGTCCGTGTAGTCACTGCTGTAGCCCATGGGATTTTTGTAGCCAGAAGAGAGCCCTGGGTTCGAGGTTGGTCCTGCAGGTAGAACACTTTCCATGTGATCCCGGAATCGCCTTATCACGCAGGACACGCAGAATTTCTATTCCCTCCGAGCGTGGATGTTTCTTTATGTAATTGATTTATTCTCGTAGCGATTCACATTCTCCAAATACAGTGCTTTCAGATTCCTCACAGGAGACTGCTGTTCCTAAAACAGCAGACCAAACCAGAGAATGATGGATGCTTTCCTAGAGCGAGGAATGACTCCTCCACGCCCGTGCTCAGGCCGCGGGCGCTCCTGTCTCGGTTGTTGCTCAGCGGCCTGGATCCGCACCCACTTTGAAGGATTTGTCTGTTCGGACAGATGTCTGTAGAGAGGTGGGGGCCTTGGAGGCACCCGGAGGAGACTCGTTCGATTGATGCTCTGATGTGAAGGCAGATCCCGTAGAAAAGGCTGGAAGGCCTGGTGTCATTTCCCTGGAGATAACGCAAGAGGGTGTCCAGGGAATGGTGAGCCGCCACTCTGCGGGCAACCCTGCCCCTCAGACGGGGCCCAGAGAGGAGGAGGAATTAGAATGGGCGAGGCCACGTGTCAGACAGCTTCCCCCGGGGTGTGCGCTCTCGGAAGAATAGATGACAAGGAAGGACCGGCACTGGGCCTGCCCTGGGTTCTGTCTCTTCTCCTCTTTTCTGATTTGGCTTTAGTGGCCTCAGACTCCAGACAGGTTTTATTGTAGAAGTTGCACACTGTCTCCAGGTGCTGGCTATGGGGGTTTGCAGGCAGGTGGGTGGCTGCAGGAGGCCTGTCCCGGGCCGGGGTGGGGAGGGCAGCAGATGTGGGGTGCACCTCCGTTGGCACCAGCAACCCTTGCCCGACGGACCAGCCCACTCAGCCCAGGACTGACCCCGGCTTCTAGCTGAGAGTGGAAGGTGTGCTCTGTAGGCAGGTGATCTGGTCAGACAGCGTCCGGAAGCCTGGCTCAGCAGACAGCTCTGCAGTCTTTTTGACAGAAGAGCAGGAACCCCTGCGGTGTTGGCTTGGACGGCGGTTCCCCTCTAGGAATCTCCCCACAGGAGCCGAGGCCTGATGTGGCTTCTATTTTTCTGTCCAGTCCAGCAACCGCCAGCCATGTGGGCTATTTCAGTGAATGGAAATTAAATGCAACTAGATATTCAGCTCCTCAGTCACACGCATCCCTTTTAGCGTGTCCAGTGCTAACGTGTCCATAGGGCTGTGGCTCCCATATGGGTCAGCGCAGATATGGGACATGTCCGTCATTGCAGAATAGTCTATGGCAGCGGTTCTCAACCTGTGGGTCGCGCCCCCTTTGGGGGTCGAACGACCCTTTCACAGGGGTCGCCTAAGACCATCGGAAAACACATATATAATTACATATTGTTTTTGTGATTAATCACTATGCTTTAATTATGTTCAATTTGTAACAATGAAATTGGGGGTCACCACAACATGAGGAACTGTATTAAAGGGTCGCGGCATTAGGAAGGTTGAGAACCGCTGTTCTATGGGGCGGAGCTGCTCTGGAATCACACCCAGTGCATCTAGTTACAGAGGAGCCCTCTGCACGATCTGGAAGATTCCTCCGTGCTCAGGGGGGATGTCATTTTTGAACACGGGCAGCTATGGAGGTAAAATACAAGACACACCTTTATAAGATGATGATATTAAGCTGCTTCCTTCACCCGTTGAAAAGCTAGGGGATTTGATGCTTAGTTGTAGACGCGCTGATCTCAATTTCACTGGGACGTGTTACGAGCTACTCAGGACAGTTTTCTTTTACTTTATTTTTTAAAAATATGTTTTTATTGATATTTAGAGAGAGAGAGGAAGAGAGAAGGATAGTGAGAAACATTGACCGGCTGCCTCCTGCATGCCCCCTACTGGGGATGGAGCCCGCGACCCAGCATGAGCCCTGACCAGGAATGGAACCGGTGAGCTCTTGGCTCATGGTCGATGCTCAACCACTGAGCCACACCGGCCGGGCTGCCCAGTTCTCTTTAATGCTGTTGTGTATATGAGACCTGGGAGCGTCTGGAGGCCCAGTTGTAGCCTTTAGTGGGAATCGCCCATTGCCTGCCCGCGACTTCTGGGAAAAGTCAAAGGAAAGAAAACAAAACACGGGTTCCCGGTTGAAAAGTTGGGGGATTCGATTCTTAGTTGTAGACGCGCTGATCTCAGTTTCACTGGGACGCGTTACGAGCTACTCAGGACAGTGAAGTGCCACCATCCTTTTCTGCCTTTTAGCGAGACATCCACTTTACAAAGTGTTATTACAGGTGAGCTCTTCCTGTGATTTGAAACTCAAACTCCTTGCTCCACCAAAGGAAGGCTGATCACGTACAGTGGATATTTGCAGCGTTAGGAACAAACCGCAGCTTTTAGGTGCAGAATAAGTGATGAAACCCGCTCTTTGGGAAATGCATGCTAATGACACCGTTTTTTTGCTCCATTAAAACTGATGTATGATGTTGCAGGGTAAGTTTAGGGAAGGGAAGCGCAGTCCCTCTCTCTCTCGCTGTCTGTCTGGTCACTGGGGGAGTCAGTGTAAACAGTCCTCAGCTCCTGAGCAATGGGGCTTAGTGATGAATAGCACGTGCCCTTGGTCCTAGAAATGATGTTAAACATGGTGCACACGACGGATTTCCTCGCTCGTTGCATAGTGTCCCGGCTGTGCCACACCGCTTTACGCTCTGCTCACGTCTATGAACGGGTCCTCATTCATGAGCCCTGAAAACATTGATGGGCCCATTCATACTTATTATTATTTTATCCTCACCCGAGGATATCTTTCCCATCGATTTCGAGAGAGAATAGAAGAGAGGGAGGAGGGGGGAGGGAGAGAGAGAAACATTGATGTGCATGAGAGAGAGACATCGATTGGTTGCCACCCACACACACCTTGACCAGGGCCTAAGTATGTGCCCTTGACCGGGAATGGAACCCTCGACCTTTTGGTCCAACCGGCCAGGGCTCACATTCATAATTGTGCCATGAATTTCACGTTCCAGGGATGGTCGTTGGAGTCTCCAAGACTGTGCCGTTCTTTTCCCATGGAGTACACGGCCCTTTGGAGCGCCACCCAAGTGGTGGCAGGGATCCTTTTTAAAAAATCTTGATTTTGCTTTTTCCCTTCAAACCACCTGCCCCTTGCCCTACGCTAGGCTTCAGAATGATTGAAATGGAAGGAATGTCCATAAATTTCCTTGGGATTAAATGCCACCCAACTGCGTACTTTCCGATTAGCTCCCTTTTTACTGCTTAGGAGAAGGGGGTGAGGTCTGGTGCCCACTTGTTTCCCGGGGATAGGGTCGACCTCGTTTGCTGTACTGTTCTCGTGTGGTTCGGCATTTTCCTGATCAATGCTCTCCCCTGTCTCTCTTGTCACCTATCCTGTCCTTTGTCGTGCGTTGACTCACGATGACTCTCTCGCACTCGGTGACGCTGATCTCTTGTGTTCCCTTGTTACCGTGACCTCTGGGTCTCTGTGCCCCTTTGTCTCCTGTGGTCTTGGTCGTCCCGTGCCCTCCAGGCTCGCGTTGGACGACGCCATTCGACACAAGCCGCTGAACATGTCATCCCGTTTTTCACCCAGGGTGGCAGGGGAGAATGACTTCCTACAGACTGTTATAAACAAAGTCATTGCTGCCAAAGAAGTCAACCACAAGGGCCAAGGTACGTATTCTGTTGTTTTGTTTCTGCAAATGTCCACTGGCTTGAGTTTGGACAGTGCTGTGTGGTTTGCATTTTAGTTTGATGATGATCATGATGATGGTGATGATGATGATAATAAATACAATGATGAAGATGATGACAATTGTGATGGTGGTGATGAGGAGGAGGAAGAGGGTGGTAATGATGATGGTGGTGATGATGGTGAGGGGGAGGAGGAGGTGGAGAATGGTGATGATAGTGATGGTGGTGGTGATGGTGGTGATGGTGACAAGGAGGAGGAAGAAGAGGATGGTGGTGATGGTGATGTTGATGGTGGTAGTGATGATGGAGATGACGATGGAGATGATGATGGTAAGGAGAAGGAGGAGGAGGAGAATGGTGATGATAGTGATGTGATAATGGTGGTGATGATGGTGACAAGGAGGAAGAAGATGAGGATAGTGATGATGGTGATGGTGGTGATGATGATGGTGATGACGATGTTGATGATGGTGATGATGGCATCCGGGGATAATGTCTGTAGTCGTTTGCCTGACAAAGGACAGAGTAGGTGACAAGAGAGACAGGGAAGAGCATTATGAAGATTTTCTTGCTGATCACCCTTGTAAGCTCTGCTAAGAGCCAACTTCCTTGATGTGAGGGTTCGACAGAGTGGGAAACAATTAAGCCTTTGGAAATCAGAGTTGATGAGACTAGAAGCAACTCATCTGTTTGCCTTCCCCAGTCTTATCCAGCCGCTCCTTTCATCCTAATCATTTTGAAAAGCACTTGAATGGCCTCACAGGAGCATAGAGTAACCGTCTCCGGCTGTTATTTCACTTGCTGTTTAGAGAAACATGAGATGCTCGACATACCCACCTCCGCACGTGCTCCTGTCGCAGCGTTCCTTGCCGGTGGCGGCCTAATCGCTGCCACTTTGTTTCCTGAGACGCCCCCTCCCGCCCCCCGAGATCGTGGGCTCATTTTGCCCTCCTTCCCCTTCAGTTTTGTGATGGAGGGATTTCTCCTTCCCGCGGCCCGTCTAACACTCATCATTTTTAATCCCACACTGACAAGCTCCCCAGCAGCTGCCCTTCTGTTGGCAGAGGCGATGAATCAGTCACCTCGGCTGGTGACAGCTGGCACTCGGCGGCCGGGAGGCCCCGGAAAACAACTGTTTATCCAGGCCCTGCCCAGCCGAGGGGAAGGCGCCGGCAGAGCCCTCCTGCCTGGGGCTGCTTCTCGCACCTGGGGAAGTCCACTTCGCAGCCCCTGATTCAATGGAGACTTCCTGTGAGCTCCTAGCACTCAGGGAGCAACCCCGATGCATCGTCTAGTGAGCTGTGTGGGTAGCGTGTAAGGAACAGTCCCCTTGGTTCCCTTCCCATCGCTCTCAGGGAGGGTGAATTGAGTCCGAGGAGCCCACCCTCTGTGGTAGAGGGGCCTTGGCTGTGAACTACCGCCTCCCTGCCAACCATCCGTGAAGCAAAAACTCCAACCCCAACGTCATGAAATGTAACCTCTCTAGACAGAGCCTTTTCTTTCTTTTTTTTAAGTCAGTCTCTGGGGTGGGTCCAGGCACCTGTATTTTTTTTTAAATATGTTTGTATTGATTTTTAGAGGGAGAGGAAGAGAGAGGGAGAGAAAGATAGAAACATTGGTGACAGAAACATCATCGGTTGGCTGCCTCCCACAGACCCCCTACTGGGGATCGAGCCTGCACCCCAGCCATGTGCTTTGACCGGGAATCGAACCACGACCTCCTGGTTCATGGGTGCAGGCTCAACCACTGAGCCACCATCATCCATCACCATCATGGAACCATGAGGATGGTTCCTCCTCATGACCATCTCCCTCTTCTTCCTCCCCATCGTCTCCATCCTCATCGTCCCCATCGTCACTACCACCATCACCGATGGCAGACAGAGCCGTGTCTAGCTAACCCAGGAGTCATCTGCTCAGAGCCCTTTACAAACCATGGGGAGGTCCAATGGCAGCTGTATCTCTGGAGCCACTGTCAGCTTGGCCCCCAGGACCCTGGCTGCCCTCGGCTCTCCTGCTCTTAGAGTCCTCCATGTTGATGAGCTTATACTATTCAGTCACAGGAAGAGCAAAGAGCGGGGCTGGCCCTGTCCAGTGGGGTTGGCCCTGTCCCGGTGGGGCTGGCCCGGTCCGGTGGGTCCGGCCCTGTCCAGTGGGGCTGGCCCGGTCCTGTGGGGCTGGCCCTGTCCAGTGGGGCTGGCCCTGTCCCGGTGGGGCTGGCCCTGTCCGGTGGGGCTGGCCTGGTCCTGTGGGGCTGGCCCTGTCCAGTGGGGCTGGCCCTGTCCCGGTGGGGCTGGCCCGGTCCTGTGGGGCTGGCCCTGTCCAGTGGGGCTGGCCCTGTCCGGTGGGGTTGGCCCTGTCCGGTGGGGCTGGCCTGGTCCTGTGGGGCCGGCCCTGTCCGGTGGGGTTGGCCCTGTCCGGTGGGGCTGGCCTGGTCCTGTGGGGCCGGCCCTGTCCGGTGAGGCTGGCCCTGTCCGGTGGGGCTGGCCTGGTCCTGTGGGGCCGGCCCTGTCCGGTGGGGCTGGCCCTGTCCCATGAGGCTGGCCCTGTCCAGTGGGGCTGGCCCTGTCCGGTGGGGCTGGCCCTGTCCGGTGGGGCTGGCCTGGTGGTGGCCCACAGCCCAGCGCTCTGCCGCCCGCCTTCTGCAGAGCTCGGGTGCTGCTCAGCAATTTGGAACTTTGGGTTCGTGAAGCTGAGAATTTACCTCCCTGGTTCTCCTCTGTTGTTCCCCTTGGGAGAATGAGAAGCAAAAGCCTTTCAACCATCCCCCCAAAATGCGAGCTCATGGTTTACCTTCAGTGCACGTGAGCTCGAAAGCCTCTGGTCCTGGGCAGAGCTGGCGCTCAGCGCTGTCCGCGTGCACGCCTGTCCTGCTGCCCCGGCTGAGCGGGATTTGTAACCCAGCCAATCCGACGCAGGTGATGCCCTGGCCAGCCGCCTCCTCCTGGCCCCTCTCCTCCCCCCTCCTCATACACGACCTTTTCTCTTACAGCCTTATGCCATGAACGAGGAGTTGCTCGTTCGTTGAGCTGGTTTTGTGATGCCTTCTTTTAGACACGGACGAGATAAAACGTAACGGACGCGCCTCTTGTCTCCCTAGGCCTGTGGGTCACTCTGAAGTTGCTCCCTGGAGACGTCCATCAGATCAGGAAGGAGTTTCCTCACTTGGTGGACAGGACCACGGCCGTGGCTCGGAAGACGGGGTTCCCCGAGATCATCATGCCCGGTAAGAGCCGCTTCCTCCCGCGTGGCTGGCCGTGGTGTGGAGGTGGCTGGCGTTTGGGGACGTCACAGAGCTGGCCGCTGAGCGCCACGTGGACAGGGACCCGTGGGAGCTCTGGCAAGCAGAGGGCTGGTGTGTGCGGCCGTGATCCCCGCGTGGTTTTGCGTCATTTCTGCAGGCAGGTGCTGCGGGGCCGGGCTGAGGGCGGCGGCTTCTCTTGGTTACAGCGACCTGGGAGGGTGGGGGAGCGACTGCTCAGGGAGCCGGAACAGGGACCAGAGGGTGAAATAAGCCTCTGCCAGCATCCCAGCCCGAGAGCCCGAGCCTTCTGTCAGCAGCTGGGGAAGTGCCACGGCTCTGCGGGCCCGGCCTTGGCCGAGCCACGTCCCCTTGCTGCCGCGGCCCCGGCGGGAAGCTTGTGCGTCAGGTGGGGTCACACGCAGTAATGGGGGCAGGAGGTCCGGCGGGGTCTGTGGGGAGCTGTGTGGCAGTCACTGCCAGGCTCGTGGGTTGGTGACGATGCTTGTGACTGTCCCAGGCTAAGTTGGGTCCCTCTAGGATTGAGGCGATCCTTTATGATGGTGCTGTGGGTTCACAGGGGTGCCTGGGCTCCCCTGGTTTCTGATGCTGTAACAGTGTTGAGTCATCCAGACGGTGGGCCGAGTGGAGGGAGCACAGTGTAGGTGAACACTCCCTGTCAGGTTCCGGCTGTGTGACAGCCCCTGGGGGAGGTTGTGGTCACTGCCTCCTCGCCACAGTGTCCCCAGCGCTGAGCAGGCAGGACCTGGTCAGGCACCCGGCTCTTGGTCCCACCCTGTTCCTCCCTGGTGCTGGGCCCTGGACATGTGCTGACCCCTCTCAGCTGCGGTCTCCTCATCTGAAGAATGAGAATAACATCGTCCCCGCCTGTCGGACCAGTTGGTGCTCTGTGCTGTCAGGATAAGTAGCAGCAACGCCGAAGCCCAAGGATCCGCAGGGATCAGCTCAGGGCCTGAGGCACAGCAGTCAGCCTTTCTGGGAGGCCCCCAGCCTCCTCCCACGGCCTCCCTCCCTCCGAGGAAGCCGTGGAGCCGGAGGCACGAGCTGCGTCCTCTTGGGAGCGCCCAGCTGTGGGTCTTCCTCTGGCGGCCCCACAGTGGGTGTCTCCGGGCCAGCGGGAGAGGGGACTTGGCGTTTGGCCACCTCCCAGCGTGGTGGTCCTCTGGCTGGCGGGGCCTCTGGGAGCCTCGGGCCCCCTTTGGGGTTATTTTGTGCCTCGATAGACCTTTCAGGCTGAGGGACCCCGCAGCCCACCCTGCCTTACGGATGACAGTTAGCGGTGGGAGGCTAGGTGACTGTCCCAGGTCGCACAGCTCACTGGTGGCAGGTCCTGGGCCCGCATCCATGCCTCCAGCCTGGCCCTGCTCCCCGTCATTCCCAACGACGCTCAGGGTCAGGGTCCTGGTGCGCCGCTTCCGTCCCCAGCAGCTGCTGCGGCTGCCCTAGCGACTGCTGGGATTCGTATCATAATGACTTTGAAATGAAAGCTTAATTTCCACCTTGGATCCATGAAAAGCAGAATAGAGCAGAAAACAACAACAACAACAACACAGAAAACAAGGAGGCTTCTTAAGGGATCCTTGTCTTTGGCCCAGAGGGGGCTGTTGCTACTCTGGACGGAACTGTTCCCGAGTCCCCCGCAGGACAAGGTGGGGCACCCGCGGGTGTGGCTGAGGGACAGCGAGGAGCAGTCCCGGATGCGATGCTTCCCCCACATCACGCAGCTAACGAAGCTTCGCTAAGTTCTCCCCTTCGGGCCCCTATCAGGGCTTCCTCTGTGCTCAGTGCGAGGGATGTCTTGAGCTCATTAGTTGCTTTTTTTTTTTTGCACAATTTATGTCCCATCTCACTTTAAAATGCACAGGTCTGTATTGAATGCCAACTGCATTTGAATAAAAATAAAATATGACATCCCTGGCCTCAGTGGTTGAGCATTGACCTATGAAACAGGAGGTCATGGTTCCATTCCTGGTCAGGGCACAGGCCCGGGTTGTGGGCTCCATCCCCAGTGTGGGGCGTGCAGGAGGTGCCGATCCATGGTTCTCTCTCATCACTGATGTTTCTGTCCCTCCCTCTCCCTTAAAAAGACCCCCAGGTCTGTTTATTCTCTTGCTCCTCAGGGTCCCCGTTCAGGCTCCCGGTAGCTGCCCCCCAGGAGGGAGGGAGAACCAGGCAGAAGGTTTCTCTCCTGATGCATCCCTGGTCCCTGGTCCCTGGTCCCTGGTCCCTGATCCCAGGCCACTCGCTGGACAGGGCTTGTGGTTTGAATTCTTCGTCAGCTTTTTGCTCAGCTCCTAGTAAAATGTACAAGAGGCCCCCCTCGCCCGTTGTCCTTGGTGTCCTGGTTGATGTCGGTGATATTCCTTGGCACCGGGACTATGACCACAGCCAGTGGTCTGACGGGTGGCGACAGGGGCCCAGGGCACCATGGACACGGAGGGGCTGAGTCCTTGCAGACACCACCAGCATTCGGTCTGCTCAGGGCGTGGGCCCCCCAGAGGGGTGGGGCGCCTCTGCCCAGGGCAAGACAAGACCCAGCATATAGTTAGGGGCCTTGGCCTGTTCCCTCTTTCTTGCACTCTCACCACGATGATGAAATTGCCCCTGTCGTGCCTCAATAGGCGGAGACTATTTTGTGGGAAGTATTTTGTGATCCTCTAACGCAGCATTCATAACGCTCAGCTAGGAGAGCTAACACGTTAGACCCTTTTACAAAATTCCCGTTTACACAATGGATGACGGATTGATTGGTTTTCAAGGTGTAATTCCCCTCCCCCCGCCAGGTGATGTTCGAAATGACATCTACGTGACATTAGTCCAAGGAGATTTCGATAAAGGAAGCAAAACCACAGCGAAGAACGTGGAGGTTACGGTGTCTGTTTACGATGAAGACGGCAAGCGGCTGGAGGTACTGACTGCAGGTGTTCACCTCTGACCTCTGCACAGACTGGGAAAGACCTGCTCCTGATTTGGGGGCGCCCGGGGCCTGGTCTTCCTTCCCTTCTCCTGCTGCCCTGGACGCGGGTTTCCTCGGGTACCTGGCAGCGGCCTGGAAGTTCAGATACCGCTGTTAGCTCATTGGAGACACGAGGGAATTTGGTGTCCAGAGAAATCAATTCACTTGTTCAGGTCAGAGCGCAGGCGAGAGGTGGAACTGGGTTTGAACTTGGACGTCTGACCTGTAACAGCACAGAGTCGGCCAGGTGGTGGTGGTACCAAGGCCCCCTCCTGAGCGGCCACAGCAGCTGTGGGACTCGGGGCCCTGGGATGTGCCCAGAGGCTGCGGCCTCCTCTGTGACCGGAGGCCAAGCCAAGGCAGGTGTCCCAGCCCCTGCCAAGCTGGCTCTGTGGACCGTGGCTGAGGGCCGTGCCCTGTGAGGGCACCTGGGGCCCAGCTCTGCCAGGAGGAGGGCCACCCTTCTCTCCGGGTGGCTCTGTGCCCTGTCCCAGCGGGCAGTGCCGAGTGGTCAAGCTGGGCACGACCTGCAGGGAGTGTTACCGCCTCCTACATTTTGTCTGGAGCCCTTTATTCGGGGGGACTTACCGAGGGAATCAGGCAGCGTTCTGCAGCCCTCCTGTGGGCGTCGTTAGGGGTGAGGGTGAGAAGGGTGGGGGACAGCAATCCCAGGTGGCTTGGCCCCTACAGTCTGGGAGTGGGGTTGATGCTGGCCGCGGGCATCGGATGGATGTGCCCGGCATCGCTGGGAGCGCGCCATGGGCAGCGGGTGATTGGCATTCCCGGGCGCTCTCTCCTCCCTTGGGCTCGGCTCACGGGGCGGGAGGTGGGGAGGACGCGGGCCGAGCTCTGAGGCCTGATGGAGTTCTGTGCCCTCTCTCTCAGCACGTCATCTTCCCGGGCGCCGGCGACGGGGCCATTTCCGAGTACAAGTCCGTCATTTACTACCAGGTCAAGCAGCCGCGCTGGTTCGAGACCGTGAAGGTATCGTTGACGTGGCCGTTTCGTCCCTCGGGGTCCGTGGTGAAACGCTCATCTGAGCCTGGGGAAGTCCCCTCCTCCCACCCCAGGGGCCGCCCGCGAAGGGCACCCTGAGCCTCCCGCCAAGTCACGCGAGGTCGCTAAGGAGCCACGCGGGCGTTTCTTGGGATACATTCCCTCTCATTTCCTTTTAACAGAAAAGTAGGACTTTCACGGAGACAAATGAGAGAGTCCCTGAACGACAGCTGTTGTGTTTCTCCTCCCGGGTCTGGATTATGTAGGAAATGCTGCCCTTACAGCAAATGGCGGGGAGGGGAGGCTATGAGAGGCCATGGCAGGGCCGGTCACGGTGCCCGCGGCGGCTGTGGCTGCAGATGTGCGAGGGGAGGGCGAGGGCAGTCTTGGCCGAGCGGCCGTGCAGTCGCTCTTTTTGCTTCATCGTCAGTCACAACAAGAACGCTTTCACCCTGCCGCCGGGGCAGGCCCTGCAGCCGCCGGGGAAGCCGGACGCCTGGGGTCGGGCTGAGGACAGAAAAGTCGGCTTTAAACCCAGAATCTTAGCTGTAGGGTCAGAGCCTTTAAGAACCTTGAGGGCCCTCACAGAGTCCCGGGCACCCTTTACAGTGTTACCTCCTGTTCCCGAGGCTGCTGCCTTTGGGACCGCGCCCGGTGGTTAGGCATCCCTCCCCCGCGCTCCCCGGGACAGCGCTGCCCCTGCGAGGAGACCGCGCCAGCGGTGCTTACATACACTTCCCTTTTCACTTTCGCAAGGTGGCCATCCCCATCGAGGACGTCAACCGCAGCCACCTCCGCTTCACCTTCCGCCACCGCTCCTCGCAGGACTGTGAGTAACCACTGTGCTATCCCGGCCGGTCAGCGGGAAACTAGGGGGCAGGCTCAGGAGGCTGCCCATGTTCTAGACCCGTGGTCGGCAAAGTCATTAGCCAACAGAGCCAAATATCAACAGTACAACGATTGAAATTTCTTTGGAGAGCCAAATTTTTTAAACTTAAACTATATAGGTAGGTACATTGTTATTAACTTAATTAGGGTACTCCTAAGGCTTAGGAAGAGCCACACTCAAGGGGCCAAAGAGCCGCATGTGGCTCGCAAGCCGCAGTTTGCCGACCACGGTTCTAGACTGTTCTGGATAGTTCTGGAACTTGGTTCCCCAAACACAATGAGGTCTCAGTCTTCAGCTCATGCCCTGGGGAGTGTTAACGACATTTCCCTGAGCCCATCGTGGGAGATCTTCATTTTCTTCTCCAATGTTTCGGAGGAGGTGCTGCTACTTGCTGTTCTTGTGAATCCCTCCCATCCATTCTGGCTTGTAATGCTGGTCCATCCGTCAGAAAAGTCACTGAGGCAGGGGGAGATTTCAAAACCTGGCTCTTCCTGCTCTGCGTGTGGCCTCGAACCCCTTGAGGCCTGTCGGGGCGGCCCCGGTGTCGAAGCAGAGCTGGGGTCCAGCTAAAAGGGTCAGGGTTCAAGTCCAGTGCGAGAAGCAGGGGTGAAGGCTGGCAGCTTGGGGATCCCTGCCCACCATGGCAGCCTGCTGTAGGGCCATGCCCTGGCCCCCGGCAGCTGGCCGGGCTCTGCTAATTGTGTGCGGCCCTCCCGCCGGCCCTGGGTAAGCACAGCCATGAATGGATGTTCACCAACATTCGCTGTGCTCGTACTGTGCTGCTGGCACGGAGGTCTCTCTGTCCTGTAATTAGTCCTCACAGCAATCCCACAGGTTCCATGTGATCAAAACTCCACACGATGATGAGGAAACGGAGGCTCAGACCCCTCCACAGGGGCCCAAAGTCACCTCGTTAGTCAGGGAAGGGCTCTGGCTCCGACCCGGCCTGTGTGCCTGAGCATCGTGCTCCCACGCCTCCGGGAGGAGCCAGGCCACTTTCATCACCTGGTCTTTATTTGGCGCCTGCTGTATACACAACTCATGGAGCAGGTTCTCCTGCAGAACTGAGGTGGAGTTGAGGGCCGAGGCCAGCTTGTAAGAGCCAAGTAGAGAAGGGCATCTTGGGGAATCCTGTGAGCAGAAGAGTAGGGTGAGCAGAGGGGGGTACATGCATGGGGGGGCACTTCGGGGTCAGGTACGTTCTCAGCCAAGGCCGTGGGGGCTGGCTCCCTGCATGCGTGGAATGGCAGGGGCGGGAGTGGGCCGGCGCACGCCGAGGGGGCTGCAGGGAGCAGGTAGGGAGGGGCGCTGGGGGGCAGGGGCACGGTTCTCGAATCCACCGCTTTCTCGTTTCACAGTGTGAGCACGCTCCCCCTTACAGCGAGCTCATTCTCTCTAATTAACAAATCACACTAGGGCGGAGGGGTATCTTCCGTAGCATTTTAATTTTCAGAATCCTTGTTTTTCCTGTCAGTTTTAAGCACTCATTATAGACAAGATGCTATCACCCGACATCTATGACACATTTGTATAATTAATGAAGTCTCCCCGGCCACAGCGTGTGGGGGCTCGGGGACGTGTGGAGCATCCAGAGCGTGTTGCCGATGAAAACCCGAGCTGTCAGCTGCCGGGAGGATGGTGGCCCGGGCCTCCCCGCGGCCCCGTCTGCAGACACGCGGGGTCGGAAGTGGGAAAACCGAGGCCATAGTGCACCTCCCCTCCCAGCACAGTGCGAGCTGCTCTCCCCCTCGGGGAGCAGGCGATGCGATCTCTCAGGCTGGGGTCCTCCCGCCCGCAGGGTTGGAAAGTTTGCTGCTGACGTGACTATCGGACATGCTCCAGCAGCTCGTTAGCAACTCCAGAGCCAGCAGCTCCCGTGTTACAGGGGCGCCAGCAGATGTGTGGCTTTGGGGCCCGGCCTGTGAGGAGCTAATGTCCCCTGCTGGTCGGGGGCCGGCTTCTGCAGCACGTGGCCCTCTGTGGCCCCTGACACTTTGTAAAATTTGTATCTGCCCCGTAATCGCTGCTAATGAGCATGTAACAAGTGCAGCGGTCCCCTTGCTGGGAAGATGTACAGTGTTACTAAAAAAAGTACCCTTTTTACTCTGTGCCACTTGACAGTGAGATCAGGGGGAGCCCTCGGCTGACGGGGATGGTCACGTGGTTTTGCCCTTCGCGGCGGCTTTCACAGAGACGGGCTTTATATTTTTTCACATCAGCTCACACTTTGAAGAATCTGATCTTTTCACCTGAACATGAATTAAGATATTTCATGTTTTCTAGTGCCCTTTTACAAAGTTCTTTTTTCGATTCCTAGGGCACATCTCTTTTACTTTTATTATATTTGGTTAGTCCATCATTTATTCATTTATCTAATTAGCATTTATTGAGCACCTACTATGTGCCAGATACAGATGGGCACCAGAATGCCAAGGCTAATGAGACTTGTTATCTCAGCTCCTGACTCGGGTGGCTGGAGTCTGCTCCTCTCCCCTTTGACCTCTGGCCATTCATCTCTGAAAAGAGAGTCTGGGATACGTCCCTTTCAAGATATTTTCTAGCTCTGAGCCTCCGTGTTTCCATGTTGCGCTCAGTTCGCATCCTGAGGAATCCACGTGAATCCCGTTCTTCGTCCAGACTTCTTATGCGTCCCCAGCTGACCTGGCCCCTGCCTGTCGTGGGGCCTCCCTGTCCACTCCTCACCAGCCACCCTGGCTGTCTGTCCCCCGACCAGCCAGACCCAGTCCCCTTGAGGACCCTGCACTGGCCATCGGCTTCCTGCAGGATTCACACCTTGGCCCATAGGCCCTTCGTCCTCACTGGGAGGCCTTCTCCAGCCGTGCAGGGGTCGTCCCTGCCCCCACTGCCACCCCTAACAGAGCACCGCGTTTTACTTCCTTTGTATCTGAAAGAACTTGTCTGTCGGCGTCTCCCCGAGTAGAACAAGGCCTCTCTTGTGCATGTTATACCCGGCGAGCACCGTCTCCTGTCCTGGGGAAGCGACAGAGAGAAAACACACACTGTTCCTGCCACTCACCGTCTAGCGGGCGAAACTCACCATCAGCAACCACAACACACACATGCACACGCACACACACACACGCACGCATACGCATGCACACACACATGCACACGCATGCACACACACACGCACACATGCACACACACACACACGCATGCACACACATGTGCGCCTGGTCTTGTGGTGACAAGCACTGTTATTTGACTCAGCTCGGGCAGCCAGAACCAAATGCATGTTCTGGGGCATAGCGAACAGACATTCATTCTCTCACGGTTCTGGAAGCTGGACATCTGCGACCCGGATGCCAGCACAGCCCGGCTGGGGGGAGGCCCCTCTGGGTGGCAGAAGGCGGCTTCTCGCGGTGAACGCACGTGGAGCGGGAAGCCCTGCTGTCCCTATCAGGGTAGGAGCTGCAGCCTTAGGGCCTCATTGAACCTTCACACCTTCTCACCGGCTTGTCCCCTACAGTCACCTCTGGGTTAGGGCCCCAACTTACCAACTTGGGGGACACCATTCAGTCCATAAACTATGAAGAACCACAAGGCCGGCGGGGGGAGCGTGTGACCAGGCTACTCACTCGCTGTTTCTGCGGTTGGTCACTGCGTCGCACGCGGGACCAGCAGACACTCGCTGGCGGGGAGGGACACGTCTCGCGTGTGGTGCCTGGCGGAAGCACGTCCCTGCCCAGGAGAAGAGCTCCCCCTCAGTCTGCCTGCGGTTAATGTCAGTGCGCGGGGCCCGGTAGGAATCGACAATCTCGTCTTTCCCATCGAGAGCCAGTGTTCGCCGTGAACGGGCTGCCCTCCGGCTGCCGTTGACGATGGCCTTGTGTCTGCAGACCCTGCCCGTTCCCACCGTGTGTGTCCGTGCGTTACGGGCACGCGGTCTCCTTAGTATCACTTTCCCAGCGTCACTCCTGGTTTCCAGTCTCGCAGGCTCTTCCTCCACATCCTCCCGGTGCCCTGGGCGCTTCCCTCTCGAGTCAGCTCCTCGTTCCCCCAGCTGGCACTTCCCCGAGATTCTGACTGGGATTGCTCGAGATTCTGACTGGGATTGCTCGCTCGCTCGGAAGTTACAGGTTGACTCGGGCACCGCCCATCCCTGCAGGAGAAGCGCCTCCTACTGGCGACCTGGTCTCTCTCCACTTATGCTTCTTTAAGGGCAGTTCTGTCAGGTTGTCCGTCAAGGTAGCCCTGGTGGCGTCTGACGTTTCTGACGTCACGAGGCCACGGCAGCCGTGGGAGATGGTTATCGATTTCTTTGCAGCCAAGGATAAATCCGAGAAAATATTTGCACTGGCGTTTGTGAAGCTGATGAGATATGACGGGACAACGCTGAGGGATGGCGAGCACGACCTCATCGTCTACAAGGTAGGCGGGGGCGGGGTAAGGTAGGCCTGGGCTCAGGATAGTAGGCTGGGGTCAGGATAAGTTAGGCGGAGGACAAGATAAGGTAGGCTAGAGACGGGTAAGGTAGGCCGGGGTC